CCCTCCCCTCTTTCCATGGGCAGGAAATCCAGCTTTGTGCTCCAGCAACCCTCCCGTGCTCCGGTCACACCGCCACGGTTTTTCAGACCGGCCCTCTGCTGGCAGCTGGCTCCCCCTGCCTTGCCCCGGGCACGACGTGGGCATGGGGTGAACAGCGTTGGGACAGGGAAGCTCCGGGTGCTTCCTCCCATGCCACCTCCTAGAGCTGCGTTCAACATCCCCCCTCCTCCCTGGGGTTCCCTGCAGGGTCACTGTCCCCACGTGGGGAGGTGAGCTGTGGAGTGGCTTGTTGGTTCATGGTGGGGAAATTGGAATCGGGTGCTCTTGCATTGAGACAGGTATTTCATGCTGGCTTGTGTCGTCTGGAAGTGAAGGGGAGGGGGAGCTGCCTTTGTTCCAGGCAAGGGAGCAGATGCATGTCAGTGTACAGCCAGCTGGGGCTGCACACACACAGCAAAAACACACATGCACACAAGCACATGCACCAGGCGCATGCTGTACAAAGCAGCCCTTCTTCTCAGCTATCCCACTCCCCACTGGATGAGTCTTTCTGGGCACAGCCCTGCTCCCAGCCCAATCCTCTGCTGGCAGCCACCTTGCTGGCAGCTTGTGTGGAGGTGTGTCTCATCCTTGGTGCATCTCCGGGGAATAATGGATGGGTGTCCCAGCCTGGCACTGGGGAATTATGGCAATGGTAGGGTGAAGTTACAGCTGCTGTGTGGACACAAGGTCTCCCTAGTCTCTACTGCGCCAAGGACGTGGCTGCCTCTCTGCTGCCGGGGCTCCTGGAAATCAAACTGTCAGACAGTTGGGCAGGGGGAGGTAGCCCCAGTGTGTGCCGTGGGCTTGCAGGAAATGTCTTGCAGACATAGGGTTGTGTGCAGCCACGCGTACCCATGCATGTGGGTGTGCACGCCTCCACTTTGCCGTGCATGAAGCCAGCACCCACATATGCGTATGTGCACACATATGTGCACCATTCCTCCTCTGCAAACCATGGGAGAGCTGGGAGGCTGTGCAGGAAGTGCACTGCTTGCTCCTTCTCATGGCTCTGGGGTGGGACTCTGCGGTTTATGATGGGCTCTGTGCTGAGCCTCCTCAGCAGGCAGAGAAGGGGGGAATCTGTGTCCCTGTGGGAGCTGACCTGTTGGGTCAGGGCTGGAGCCATGAGGAATGGCCCTTTATTACAGGTAAAATGCAGGGAGCAGGTCCTCACTGAAGAGGACAACGAATTGAAAGAGGTGGGTTGCGCCAGGGCAGAGCCTGAGCAGCCAGGGCTGAGGGCTCCTCAGGCTCCAGAGGATGAGTGCCCACAGCTTGGGAAACTGGGCTTGAAGGCAATGCTGAAGCAGGCATGATGCAGGCTGTGCCAGGGCTGGGCACAGCTGACATCAGCCCTGGGCACTCACTGAAATGGCACAGTCCCAGCCCCTCCTGCCTCCAGGCTGCCAGTTTGGGGACATGTTCAGAGCCTGGGTGGGTGGGCCTGGTCTGGGAGGGGTGCTGCACCCCACTCCAGTCCTCCACCCTGCTGAGAGCCCCTCGGGTCTCCTCTGCAGATGGGCTCTTTGTGACCGACTACTTCACCCGCACACCACGCAAGCTCAGCCCCTTCCGCTCCTTTGCCAGCATTGAGCTCTTCCACTTCCACATCCCTGAGGACACAGTCATTGCTGTCTGGAACCTCATCACCTTCAAGGAGCAGGGTGGCACCTTTGGGGACCAATGCCCAGACCGTAGCATCACCGTGTGAGTAAGCAGCCTGCTCTGTCTGTTTCGTTCCTGCCTGCCCCTGCCTGCCCCTGCTGCCCTCTGCCTGGACGTGCCCTGGAGCCTGCCTGCTCTTGGCCACTTCCTGCTTGCACGTGCACAGGTGCATATATGTATACGTGTGTACACATACAGAGGAGCACTCATGCACACACATGCATATGTGGGTACACACTTGTGCACAGATGCACACACACCCATGCATATATGCACATACGTGCACACACATACACAGGCATGCTCAGTCCCCATGACTGAACTTCCCAGGACCGTTGCAGGCTCCACTCTT